GTGCCAAGTATATCTAGGATGACTGGATGCAAAGGACATCACCCTCAAGGACTCTTGATAACATTTTTATACATTCTAAGCCTTAAATTTACATTTTCTTTTATGCATTAGATGATATTAACAGCTGAATATAACCTAATTGTAGCATACTGCATTTTAATTAACATTATACAAATGTAAAATTAAATAAATAATTAAAGAATAATTACTATTCATCAGGAACATTTACTATTCTACTTCATTTGTTATCTAAGAAGTATAAAAAATGAATAGCTACAGAGTCTTGCAGGGTAGAAATACCATAATCACTGTTCTAATACTTCCTTCCTGCCAGATTCAGATGACAAGCACTAAAGAAAACCTAAAGATATCTAAACTGAATTAATATCCAGACCTCCATCAGTGACAATGAAGTCAGAATCCAGCCTATCAGTTGGCAGAAGTTATTTTTCAGTCAAACAAAAAATTCACAACAAAAAGACCATGTAGACATACAGGTCTGCTCTTTCAGTCAGTACATCCTATAAACTGGTTTGGAAGAGAAACACAGCCACAAAAGAATGATTTTAATTCCCCACTAAATACCTACTTACCATTGCTCAGAATGTCTGAGAGTCATTTTTACTGCAATGACTTATATTTAAGTAGTTCAGATTATTTACTGCTATGTGATTTCTTAAGAGCAGAGTTGTATTCTGTGCCTGGATACACAGCACAGCCAGGCTACTCAATTACTTAAATATGAGCACATCAAAACCTGTTTGTTGCCTACAGTGATACACAGTGCTCTCCCCATCACTGACAGATGTGCAGCACTGAAATGATAATACCAGACCTAAACTGTAAGTCACCTTTCTAGCAGGTAGGTGTGGTGCACAGATATCTAACGTAGGACAGTCAGTAAATAATTCTGATACATACTGAGACATCACTGCCGTGGTTTTAAGTCAACAACACAGTGATGGGAAATACACCGTTGGTTAGACCCAGCTCCTTAGACAACTAAGTACATTAAAAACACTCTTTGACTTAGTGGAAACACCAGGAGGTAATTATTTCTCTTTTGCTTTTAATCAGAAAATGGTATATACCTGTGTATATGGAACCCCTCAAGGAATGACTTTGCAGAAAAATGTAGCACAGGGAAGAAGCACAGTCTGTAATTACTCCATAGATATCTCTCCAAGTGAGAAAGCACACAATGTTTACATTTGAGTATTTTCAAGATGATGCAGCACATAAAGTCGAATAGGAAGAGACAGTAAAATCTGTTAAAAACAGCTAAGACCGGTTGTGATGAAAGATTTCCCTGAAAGGGCTTATTATCAGTATGTCAGTGATTCCCAGCACAGGTAAGTCACTTGTTCATGTACACAGCCTTTCAACGGCACATTCAGAACTGGACTTCTTTCAAGTGAAGCCACTGTCTCATCTCATTTATATTATACTCAGATTCCAGTGAGGAGACATTGTGAGTATAGACAAAACATGGCTGTCAGCATATTTAGTCTTCCTGGCAGTCATGAAATCCCCTGATGATGAGAAGAGATGGCTTTGTTACTTCTCTGGACATTTTCAATGTATTTCAGTGAGCTGAGCTTTAAATGTACTTTTTTTGAGCGCTGGAGTAACTAACATGCAAAAGACTGACAAGAGGAATCCAAAAGAACATGCAAAAGACTGACATGGGGAATATGAAGTGTTTATTTTAAGAGACAAAAGCAAACAAACAAATAAAAAAATCAGCACGCAGTTCTGAGCACTGTAACCTGTCCTATAATCCACTTAGAAATGGAGCACGCTTTTGGCACATGTTGTAGTCAGAACAGTAGTGGAGCAGATATAATGACACCCAATTGAAACAAAGATTTTGCTTCTGTTGTGGTAGTTACAGTAGATTTATGATTAGGAAGCACTATTCACTTTTTGGTTTGCATTAATCGTCTTCTATGCCAGCTTTAGTGCTTCAGCCATGGTTATAATTGGTGACTGCGTTTCTGCAGCTACAGTTGGAACTGCAGCCCATTCACAGCTGTGCAGAGCATTATTAGTGCAGTGGCTGAAGCATGCCCTTCCTTTGTGCTGCTTCTCTCCGTGCTCCTCAGCACGCTGGGGAAGCCACCTGCATCAGTGCTACTCTGCTCTCTCTTGTTTGAAGCTGCCCACACCTCCACTGAAAACTCCTTACAAGCTTTTCAAAAACAATCTGACTGAATATATTTTCACAAGCTTAATTTGCATATAATTTGCACTCAGTTTCTCTCCCATTCTCAACCTCTATTACCTCAAATAACTGAAAGATGCCTACATAGTTCTATTAATTGCCAAGTACACAAGATGTTTTGAACTGTTGCTATAAATAGGTTCTTTCACACTGGGAAAACAAAATGCTTTCCTAAGGCTTTTTGTTTGATTGGCACATTTTTCTTTTACAGGAAACCCTATATTTGAAACAAAGTCTGGACAAGCAGATTTAGCACAGGACTGTTCAAAGTTGTCTTCCTTCCCAATTGCAACAGCAGGAAGAACAGGAACATAAGGGCTCTCTGGCTGTGCACTCCTCCAAATGGAACAGGAGGGCTGGCAGATCCACACATGTGATTTGCCCTACAGCAAACCTGCTTCTGGCCACCCACAATCAAACCAGTTGGATTCAGTGTCACATCAGCAAGACAGATTCCCAAATGCTGGTGAACCTTCCCTATCTCAGGAGAAAGGCTGAAAACTCCCAGTAAATAGCCAAGTCACAAGAAAAAGCTGGTATTTAGACACGAGACATCTTTCGTAATAATATACTATTATGGCCATAGCTTACACAAGAAGTATATAATTATTCAGAAAGGAAATGTGGTCTACTGCGGACATATAGTCTAGAAAGAATAATTCCATGGTGTGAGAAAATGCATGACACAAATATGTAGACTGCTCCAAAAGTAATGCCCCTTATTTCCGTGGAAACTGAAACCAATGCAAAGAACACAAAGGCTCACCTAAAAACACCTTTTTAAACACAGTCACCACCACTAGCTATGCATTTTTATCAGCCATGAATAAGAGCCTGCATGCCACTCTCATATCAACCAGCACCAGTAGCAGTGCCCCACTATCACTGTCACCACCATCGAAACAGTCTACCCACTGCCTCACTGTGCTCACATCCACTGCCTGGTCCCCATAAATATCCAGCAAGTGTCAATGACTGCCAATGAGTGCCATTTTTTTTTACACATACAGGAATTTAATTACACCTCTTTGCTTCCTGACAGCATTCTGTCAGACCGCCTCTCTGCTGTCATCTGTCGCATGACAACAAATGTAATTTTGACAACAAAATGGAGTATTGGCGAGAAGGTTCAACCTCTACTGCCATATCACCAATCTGATCATCTGATCTCATAGGCCAACATAATAAAATGGGAGGTATTACTATCAGAGCAGCCCTTGTATTACACTCCATAGCGTATATTCTATGCTAGCGTATAGAATGATAAGAAAAAAACCTCAAATTCAATAAGTGTAATTCACTGGCACCAAGCAGTCAGTTCTATTTGTTCCTGTTGCTGATGTTTTTACTAAAATTGCAAGGCATTTGAAGGTCCCCCCCCCCAAAAAAAAAAACAACATTCAAAAGTGTTCTAAAGTGACTCAATTAAGATGTTTCTAGAAAAAGTTATGTCATAACATCTAGTCTTACAAAACTGTATTTCAGAGAGCAAATTCTTAATGTGATTGTCTGGTTATTTAAAACAAATAGCCTGAAAATGTACAGAAAAACCTAATCTGTAATCAAGATTCAAATTGGATATTAAAATACATTATTCACCTTAACTCAAAATAACAGATTTATTTAATTTACTTGGCCTGGCATTACCAGCAATTGCTGTATTTGTCTGGGAAATCACCCACCACCATAGGACAGCTTTATGTTTAATGACTGAGCAAAGCATCAAACAGAGATAATAGCAATAAATACACAAGTAATAAATAAACACCAGGTCTTAGCACGTGATGGGTGTCCAAAAGGTCATCATCATCCTACAAATAGGAGTCAGGGATGGCCATGACTACTTTTTTACTATTTTTCCCAATTGATCTCTCTAGCCAGTAAAGGCACGTTTATCTTGCTCTCTACAGAGAACTTTTCAGTGATTTCCATGAAGAGGCATAGAGGTAAAGAATCCACTTACCTTTAGGAAGCCCCAGGCAGGCAGGGATCTCCAGAGAGATGCCTTTGTCTCCACTGCCAACCCTTAAATGAGGTCTGGGCAGGGATGGATCCAGGCTCCACCCCTTCTGGTCTCTCAGGTGCATTGAATTGCAGGTTGGCTCTGCCTTCCCACTAGGTGCTCAATCACTGTTTTAAGCCCTGACTTAACATTTCCACTTCACATGGTTTTTGTAAGTCTCTACAGATTTAACAGGAATCCAGAGAACTCAATAGCTGTTTCTAAGATTCTTATGAGAACTTCTTCCCAGTACCCATTTAATATCTCAACAAAACAGAGAATGGCTCAACCACTGCTGTTACACTGGTGAAAAAAATTGATCTCTGCTTTCAGGGACCTCACAGCAACATTTATTTTTAACAGAAATCATGTGCTTAAGAGTATCTGCACTCTCTGCTGGAACACATTACTGTCAGACAAGCATATCCTGCTTTTCTTTGTTATAGTCATCACTGCAAAACATGAGATTTACAATAACATTTTTTCCAGATATATTTCTAATGGAAATCTCTAAATTGATCTTAAAATAAAATAAAATATTCTTAAGTGCTGAACCCTAACTAATAAACATCATAAATGAAGCTAAATGTTATTTTTGAACACTTACCATCTAGCATGGAAAGGCACTGGACTGCTTACAGAAGATTAATAAAGTTATTATTGGTTTATGTGAATTGACTGTAGTGAGGTCGTGAATAAGCACAACCATATACTGGCCATTACGGAATAGTAAGTATATCTTCATAAAAACAGAAGGAAAAGCCTTACACTCACCTCTCACTGGGCTGCAACACAGATTCTTATGTTCCCTAAGAAGCAGCCCATGCTACAGTGTAAGGACATGTCCTGAGAAGAGTTTGCATCTTCATGAGCTCAGGTAACCTGAATCAACATGAAAAAAAAAGCTCAAGGTTAGATTTATATGTGCCAAATAGCCACAGCTGAAGAAATCTGTGTGTAGCAAACACGTTTGGACTTAGATGTACTTCAGTTAGAGAATTCTTGAAAATGCATATTTTAAAAGTAAAGACAATCTTTTTTTTTTTTTTTTTTTTTCAATCACACACTAAAGCTACATTTTTATTTAAGTGGCATAATGTCAGAATAATTATTTTCTTCTGATTTAACTGGTAGTTTCTGGAGCATTCAAACAGACACTACAGATCCTTTTCTGCAGTTATGTTAATACGTCCAAAGAAAAAACTTAACAGGAAAAGCTGGATGTATTTTGAGTATTAAATATAATCAGTTCTCTAAGGGGAAATAAGAAGCACATTGGTATACAGTTTCAGAAGTGTAGGCTAATACATATTATAGTTAGCATGTGAGTTTAGTTATTTATGTACAATAAGTGTTCTCAGAAATTATATTTCAAGACTGAGGATTCATTTAAACACCACCAGAATGAATGATTCATGTCAAATAGAAGTACCTGTGACACAATGGAAAGAGCTGGTCCTTAGTTGTCACAGTGATGAGGAATATGGAAATTTGAGTTTGCACCCTTGAAATATAATTTAAGCACTGATATTACAAAGTTTAACACAAGCTAGCAACAGATGACTATCAAAATGTATGCAAAGTATATATATGCAACATATTATAAATACACATTGTATAATAAATATACTTTCTGAAACATGGCAGTATTGAGAACATCAATACAGTACAAAGATCATAGCCTTCTGGTGTTTGTAGAGTTCATTCTAAGTAAAGAAAATGACAGCAGATGATCCAGGAAGCAATCTCAAGGTTTCTCTTTGTAAGATTTGATGAATTAATCCTTGAAAACTGTGATATTATGTTACACCAGTGATTCAACCATATTTTCTTTACATGCTCAAGGCTGATGACTAATTTTAAATGTTGTTTTTTTTATAGCACATTACACAACATTCAATGGGACAACAGCACACAACAGCACAGATGGATTTGAAATTACACAGCTGTAACCAGAAGAGATGCTCCTGTGCAAATATTACAGCATCAACATTGAAATTTACAACACTGGAAATACAGTGGGTTTTCTCTACAAATTATACAGTATCCACCATGCAGACTGTAGTTTTGGAGACCTTTTTGTATGCAGTAATAATTCTGAGATTTCCCTTTTCTTTCCATTTTATTTTTTTATTAAATGTTGAATTGAATTTTTAGATGAAGATATAGTTTAGCTAATTTTACTATTATACAAGAAGGAAAGGGTTTGTAGGTTCAACTCCCCGCAATCCAATTAAATCTATAGTCACATATTCTGGGGACTCAAATTAGTAAATTTTACCACAGGAAGTTTATTCCAAGATCTTAGAATCATGTTTTCCATTTTACATGAACAAATACAACAGCGTAGTACTGAGGCTGTAACCATAGGTTGAGTGCAAATCACAACAAACTAGATGTGCAAACAAGCAAGTAGGGTCCTTGCAAGGTTTGGCAAGCTTATTTGATTTGGATGAGCTAGAAGACCACCATTCTTGAAATCCAAGCAGGTTTTTTCCTCTACAAATAAGACACAAAGAAATTGATAAAAAACGAAACATTTATGAAAGCATTACTATAACTAATAATTAGCATTCCTGTCAAAAGTAGATCTCTCATTGATTTCAGCAATAGACAGATCACATCTTTTGAGAGGAAACTTATGTGAAGTAGAGGACAAGACTACTAATCCATTTTACAAAATATTTTAAAAAGTTAATGCCTTATTTCACCCTCTCAGGAATATCAGCAATGTTATGAATGGAGAAATAACTTCAATTTCTATCTACATTTCAAGGTGGATGGTACTTATATAACCCTCCTGCAAATATGTTTTAAACAAACTCCATATCTATGTTAATGAGACTACAAAGAAAACTGTACTGTTAAATACTTTACCCGCACAGTTTATTGCTGCTCTATCAGGCTGCTAATGGTCTGAGTGACCTTGAAGCATATTAACACTCACCAGAACAGCATCGAGCCAGTCTCTGTTGATATAAATATTTTGCCTTTGCTAAACACTGTTCCCTGTTGTTATTCAGAGCTTTTGTTATCAGATCCTAAAGCATCAGTGCTCCTTATTGAGATAAACAAAGCTATTAGCACAACCTAGTATCACTGCATTTACTCCTCTGATTAATGTGTATCACTAACACCTCTCTTCAGAAATGAATTTCATAATAACCAAAGAAGCTTCCTAAAAATCTTGCACTCCAGTTTCATATTCCAGTATTTCTGAATGCAGCTACTTCAGATTATAGTAAAGATGACAAAGATGTTGGCTGGGTACTGGTACCAAACTCTTGTTACAATATACAAGCCAATGTCAAGATTCTTTAACAATCGTAGTTGAAGAAGTTAACAGAGATGAGAACTATCCAGAAAGCAAGTAAGAAAAATCAGTAATCTTTGTTTGATGGCATCTGTACTAAAACATATTTATTCTGTTTGGATTTTTTATTATTTTTTAAGTCTGCTGAAATGAAATGTCTTACAATACTGACTGCATGCTAACCATGGTAGCTCACTCTGAACCAGTGTGTCTTGTGTCCATGAAAAGCAGTGCAATCTTCCAACATATTTATGACCCACAACAGGGATGCTCCTTCACCATCCTTCTCACATTCTTAGCATGACCAAGTCGGAATGTTCAAGTAGAGTAGAGAAACATTTAAGATCCAGACTTCCCTTATGACACTCTGAAAGGGCCCACACCTCCTATACTTTAGAAAGGGAAGTGAATATCTACCTTCATAAAATACTTTGTTTATTGATACAGAGAGGATAATTCCTGGAGCCCTATATACACCTAGGATGAGCAACAAAGAAGTACATGCAGAAAACTCTACAGATAGCAGGGTTATCTCCAACAGAAAATCAAGACTGACATGCTTTAGTTCAGCTGAATCTTGAAAGCTTCTAAGGACAGACATCCCATGATTTTACTGAAAATATTTTCTATTAAAATATCTAATCTGAATATCCCAAAACCATGGCCTGCGGCCGCTGTTCTCATGACACCACCTGGTACCACTAAGAAGAGTTTGCTCCTGTAATTTTTGTCTTTATTGTAGCTGGAAGCATCTACTAGATAGCCTTTCGGTCTTTTCAAAGCTGACTAAACAGAGCCCTCAGTTTCTTCTCAGAAAGTCTATTTCAACATCTGACCACCTTTCTTGATTCCTCCTGCATTTTTCCAGCTACTTCACATCTCTCAGATGGAAGAGGCAGGATGGGGGACCTAAGTAGTTACAGTACTCTAGATGTAACTTCACAAGGATTGAGCAGAAAGGGATAATGCCTTCCTCTGATCCACTGATGATCTCATTTTATTTTATTTGACTTGGATGACAGGGGTTCTGAGTTTTTTTCCTATGCTTTTCTGACACCAAACTGTCAGTCAATCAAAGACTCGTGGAAGTATGAATATTCAACATTCTCTTGAGCATCGTAGATTGAACCTGCAGTGTCAGTAGAACATACTTGTCACCTCCATGAAGTAATTTGCAGGTCTCATTGCAGCCTGAAGTGCTAACCTAGACAAGTAAGTACTGATGGGTTCTAAAGAGGAAGGAGACGAAGGACAAAGAATGAGCACAGGTTCACATTAGGTTATGGGAACTATGCATACCTGCAACTCTGACTCAATAGGTCAAAAAGTTTTGCGAAGAAAAAATAGATGGTGAATACTTTTGAAATATGCTTGTGAGAAATCAGTGTTGTGAAAATAAACCAAATCATTTCAAGCTTAATGTAGGAGAACACAGAACTTGATGAAGTACCTAATGTTTGTAATGAAAGCATGCCTCTCCATGCTACAGGCTGAATCAACTTTTAACACTTGAATTCAAAGGGTCTACTCCTGTAAAATGACTACACAGACTTATAGTGTGTATACAAAAATAATTAAGAAGTTTAAACAACGTAATTGGAACAACTCCGAGCAATACAGGATCCAAAACCGAATCTGCATATTTAGAAATACAACCTGTGCCACACAGATTCTATTAGCATATTAGTGACCATTACCCCCTCAGTGCTGTCTGTACATTCAAAGGCTCAAAAGAGCAATGCTTATAGAGTACAGTGGTACAAAGATTCATCCTTCTTCTTCTTAATTCAAAATACAGTAAATGGGAAATTGTCACATTACATACTGCCTTTGTATTATCAGGTACAAGAAATAACTGAAAAATTATTATTTAAGAGCCGTGTAAGTTATATAAGGAAAAATATCCACACTTTCTAAAATTCAGAAGTAGTTCTGTATTTTCACAGTCAGATGACCAGCTATGTCTAAGAGAGAGTTTGCAAGCCTTCCACACAGTGCGCTTATGCTTGTACTAATAAATAGATCCAAGACAAGTAGATATGGTGAAGCCTAAGCAAACACACCTTAAGTCTTAAGGAAAATGTGCTAAAATGTATTAAATGATAAAAGGACAAGGCTGTCACTGGCTGATTAATTGGAAAGAGCAAGGAGAAGCAGCAGCACAGTTTCAGTCTTACCAAGATGAATGAGCAGGATCTGCCTGTTTCAGCAAAGCCATATTGATGTGACCAAGTAAAATCAATGAAACAGTGAGCACAAACTAGCTGTCCTTGTCAGAAGAAGAAAATCACCTACCAGTTACAATGAAGTAATTTAAATCAAATACATCAAAACCACCTCATTCAACATACATACCCTTATCATTCATTAGTGCTAGTCAGTGGGGATTTACAGAAAAATTACTCTTTCCTCCAGTGCTGTCACAGAGCACAGTAACCCACACTGAACTTATTAACATATATTAATTTATTATTTTCTTAACCATAAAGAAATTCAGAAAGGTAGGGATTTTGAAACAAGATACACTGGAGAAAACAGCCTATTTAGAGCAAGAAAATACTTAGAATCA